GTTTGAATGACAATATGCTGTAGACCCGAATACCTCTACTTTCAAATTCCTAATGTTTGATATCTTTCGATTCCATATCTCTGATAGTGTGACATTACTCATTTTGTCCACTTTTTTATTTATTTTCCATAAAGTTAGCTGCTCTGTGATTGTTCCAGTCTTGTGAAACCCATTTCCAATATAATTTCTTGTTGCAACTTGTTCTCGAAGTATAACTTATTCATCTATCACCTCCATGTCCGTAACCTTGATTAGCGTTACCATCCTGTTTTTTTCGATGTTTCTTAAGAACATTAAATTGTTTTTTACAATCTTTCTGGTAGTGTATTTTTTGCCACCTAAATAACATGTTGCACTTTGTTGATGTGTTGCAAAAGCTGATGGGTTTTCGTTGCTTTGAATGTTTTTGTGTTTCGTTTTCACCCACTAGATCTATATAGAATTTTTTTGCGTTGAACATTTGTCCAATTTAGCTTTGGTTTGGCTGAACTGATCGTCGAGCATTGTGGTGGTGTGGTGCTTTTTTTAATAACTATATAGATAGTTATAATTGTATAACTATAAACCATGTCCGCTCATTTAAATCTACCCCTGTAGCATATATAATTGGCTAATGCTCTCTTCAAATTCAACTAAAAATTCTTCTAGACAACTAGCGTCATGCAATTTTATTGAAAATAAGTTCATCTTAAGAATTAACTTGCCAAGAATGACTTTCTTTTATCTATCTTCCAAACTACCCCATATGCTAAAAACTGAAACTTTTCCTCTAATAAAATCAACTAGCGCCTCTTCCAAACATTTTACCTACTATAAATCAAATCGAATCAATCAAATCAAAATATGCTTTATTGTTTAAAGATACAAATCTTGATAACAAAGCTTCCAATAGGGACTTAGATATCGATACGATATAATACAATTGAACACATCAACAAAGTAGGCAAATCAACTATAAGATAGCGGAGATGAGAAGTATTCCTTAACAGAGTAAAAAGCTTTAGCCAAAAGTAATTTCTCAACTTGTTTTTTGAAGTATCCACTCTCCTTTAGGTTATTAAACAAATTTTCTACTGTTGTACTGAGTAGATTTTTGAATCGAGGATGATCAATCAGTACATCAATCACATGTGAACTTCTTGTATTGACTGAGAAGAAAGAATAGAGGAATACTTCTTCTGCACGAGACACACAAATTATAAAATTAGGATACAAGGCAGGGGAAAAATACATCTACTTATAAAGAATGGTCTGCAAGAGCTTCGTGGACTAAGACCGCATACCGACCTTATAGCACGCTTCTGGAGTCATCCTCTCTCTGATGTTGCCAAAATGTCGGATTTTGTCGGAAAAACTGTAGCCACTAGCCGATGAGGGGTTATTGTGGGACCAATGTCTAGTTTAGAAGCACAGAAATTCTCTCATTGGCTGTCGACAGTGATCACGTGACCAATGTCAAAATATACTTTTATAGGTTATCGGACATGCAGGATCGATCGCAGATTAAAAAAGTCGCATATTTTACATCTCCAGGGCTTTCAGGGCTGATTGGAGACTGCGTCCTGAGTATTGAGCCAAAAAATCACACTCGAAAGCCTTGTGTGTTCGGCCCTATTGCCTTTTTCTTATTTATATTTTTTTGTCAGAATGATCTCAATAAAACTTGTACCTAGATAGTTACATTATGATCAACTTTGCTTCATGACCTTTTTGCTATCTATTTTAGTTTAGGCGCTGCGGCCATTTTAGTGCTCCAGAAATCGGAAAAAAAATTGAATAGCAAACCTGCAGATTACTGTATGTAATAACATTCTCGACCTCTAACTTTGCTATCTTATTTCTTTCGCTTGTACGGCCTTTAAGGCATGTGCAAATTTGATTTGTTATTCGGGACTACATGATGATTTTAAACAATAACATTCTATTTTTGTTAACCTCATTATTGTTTTTTTCGCTGTGAGGTTAATCTCCATTTTCCGCAATCGTCAAATTCATAAGTTGTACCTATATGTTTACTTAATTAAGCTCATTTCCACCGAAAAGTTAGAGCTTTCGGCGCGAAATTCTCTGAAACGTTACAAATTGACGAGATTTTGAAAGAGCACGGACAGGAAGTTCTTAGATTACCCCCTGACCAATGAATGAATGAAATGGCTTAGGGGTTATGTAAAAACATTTACAGCAAAACTATAATCTCCCAATCAGCATCGAAAGATAGGGTTTCGAGAGTATGGTGTAAGCCTCTTCCAAAATGTCCCTCAAACATGAGGACATAGTTTTGTAGACTTTGCGAAACCATTATTTCAGAAGAATACATATTATGTACTTACTTTTTGACAATACTTCCCCTATCATTATTTCGCGTGGGAATCGGATTCAGAAGTGCTATATCTGACTCCGAGGAAGTTTCCAATTCGCCAGGAGAAATGATGGAAGTTGTATAAGACTCAGACTTTCAAACTTAGCTACTAGGTCAAAATATTACATTTTACATCACATCAGAGAGACTTGAGACTTGTTGGAGGCAAATCCTCATTAGCATAGCAGCACCAATAAGCAACCTGATACTTTTTGGTTTATGTACCTTACTTGAAAGAAATCTAATTATAACGTGCTCCCCTTGTAATAAAAATTAATATCCATGACACCAGTATACCGGTGTTTCAAACCCTGTTTAGAGGATTTCTTTTTACGACTGCTCTAGAAAGCAATTAAAAACGTACCATACTACTTCTGTACCTAGAAAATCAATTAGTCAACCAGCATGCAAAAATCACATTCCACACGTCCGGAGCATGTGAAAAAGTCTTTTCACACGCTGAAACAGAAATGGCACATCTGCTGAATTTTTGTTTTGCCATTTATGATAATTCGTTATCCACTTTTAGCACAGTACATACAAAAATAATCAGCAGAGGCTAACTCGAGCTTTGTATCTTAAAATGGCGGCTTGCGCAGAAAAGATACTCGTGATGGTTAACCTGCAGATTTTTTTTGTATAATATGTGCTGTGCTTTTAGTTTATGGCAACCTTATACTTTAGTCTTTGGATAGACATCCAGAAAATGTAGAAGCATATTATTGTTTATTAAACTTCAAAGAAAGATTGAATAATTCCTTGTTTGCTAGGAATGCTCGAATATAAAAAACATTTTTTATGTGGAAAAAACAATTTTGTGTACCGATCTGTTCATGCACTTGACATATTTCTATAAGCTCATTTAAAGTTTTCGCACTTTCTGAGAGCTTTTTTTTCTATTCTATTCAGGCCCATCAATGATCTCATCCTCGATTTTTATTTCGACTGATTCTATTTCCGAATTTCCAATCAGTATTTGTTGGCCTATTGTCGAATTTTCAAATGAAACTTGTTGAAGCTCACACTCTCTTCTGTTTTTAGACTTCTAAATACATGTCTCTCGAATGTTGAATTCTGTTTGGGGGAAAAATATTCCGACAGTTTTCTGTTAAAATCGAATTTGTTGTTTCAAGTCGAAGGTCGCTATTGCTTCTAGAAGGTTGTAGGCAACTTCTTGCAGTCGTGCAGATGCCCCTCAGATGTAGTAGTTTATTTTTCTTCTTTACCGGATTAGATATCTCCTCTGATGCTAGGTATAGTATAATTCCAGAGAGCGCAACCATTTTCCCCATTCCTCTCTTACTACCGGCTTCGATGTTGTCACAGAGAAAAGGTCTTACACCTGCTTCGGACATAGTAGGTACATACCTTATATTTTTATTGATTGATTTATTTATTTATTCGTTGATTTCGGTATTCGGTATTTTATACCGGGCTGTTACGTTTGGGATAATATTTCTCGTTCTTTCCTGTATTTGGGCTCGGGCTCGGAGCCTTCCTGAGCTTCCTCGCTCTTCTGGCTCACAGCCTTCCTTTTTTTTTTCTGCCTAAAATATAGGGTAAAGTCTATACGAAGTTACTTGAACCAGGCATAAAATAGTGGTATAGTCAATGTACTGCATCACATATTGAAAAATATAGCAAAATTTATACTGATTGCTCCTCGTACCGTTGGAAGCCAAACAAGTAGGGATGGATAGATCTGATTGGCTTCTTGTACATGTTCGATGCCAGTCAACGTGGACTCCATAGATCTGTTTCTGTTTATTCCGTTTTGTGGAGCGATATGATTGTCGGTGTTAGAAACATTGCAGTGCAATCAGTGCATTACCTATTCTAGATTGTTCTTATTTTTTTATTAGAGCACTTTTTGAAAGATTACACCGCCCATGTTTGACAAAGAAAATGCCGGGATTCAGTTTTTATATGTAGGAATCTGTTTTATCATGCTTTGCATCATTGCTTACTCGTCATATGGCACCCGAACATTTTTGACATATCACACAGAGGGAAAAGGGAAGAGGGCATTCAGAGATACAACGGACGACGTAGACGACGAATTAGATATATTTTATATTGAAAGAAGTGAAGACGTAACGAGGACGATTAAGAGGAGCTATAAATTAGCACTGCTTAGTAGTGATTAGTGGTAGTAAACCTCAGTGTCTTTTATTCCTTTTGGAATTGTAAGTGCCCGTGCCCAGTATTCAAGTGCAAGCATCCGATTTAAATTGTTAATTATCTGCAAGACGTTTTATTTGGAAGAAACCCTAGACAACAAGAAAGAAAACTACATTTTGAGGGCTTGCCCGGGATAGAATATAAAAGAAGCGTTGAAAGACGTCTATAGAAGATTACAGAGGATGTAAAAGACCAAAAATGGACTCAGTGCTGTTGTTTGTGAATGGCCCGCGACGTTTCATGTGAATTTTTCGTGAAAATCCGGTTCAAAACCGAATTTTATTATTTTCCTGCCAAGAGTGACATTGTGACAGTTCCAACTCCGACTTCCGTTAGTGCGCGCGTAGTAAAGTGACGATATTGGGCTCCAAAAGTGACAAGTGTCAATGTTAGCCAAATCAGTGGCGGTACGATTCACGTGAAGTCAGTGGTAGTTTTTGGCAATGATAAGCTTATCAAGGAAGGTGATATTGTCAGAAGAACAGGAGCTATTGTTGATGTTCCTGTAGGCGATGCTTTGTTGGTCGGTGTAGTTGATGCTTTAGGTACTGCCATCGACGGTAAAGGCCCACTAAACACTCACCAAGGTTTCCGTATCGGTACCAAAGCCCCTGGTATCATTCCACGTGTCTTTGTCAGAGAGCCCATGCAGACTGGAATTAAGGCAGTAGATTCCTTAGTACCAGTCGGTAGAGGCCAGAGAGAGTTGATTATTGGTGATCGACAAGCTAATAAAACCGCCCTGGCCATTGACACCATCATAAACCAAAAACGTTTCAATGAGGCGACGAAGAAAAAAAGAATCTCTACTGCATCTACGTTGCCATTGGTCAAAAACGTTCCACAGTGGCCCAAATTTTGAAGCGTCTTGCAGACATTGGTGCCATGACCTACACAATTATTGTCTCTGCTACTGCCTTTGATGCTGCCCCTCTGCAATATTTGGCCCCATATTCTGGCTGTGCCATGGGAGAATATTTCCGTGACAGTGGAAAGCATGCATTAATTATTTATCATGATTTGTCCAAACAGGCTGTTGCCTACCGTCAAATGTCATTGTTGCTACGCCGTCCTCTAGGTTGTGAAGCTTACCCCGGTGACGTCTTCTACCTTCAGTCCCATCTTTTGGAGCGTGCAGCTTAAATGTCAGAAGCTCATGGAGGTGGTTCTTTGACAGCTTTACCGGTCATTGAAACTCAAGCCGGTGACGTATCAGCTTACATTCCTACCAACGTGATTTCTATAACTGACGGTCAAATTTTCTTGGAAACAGAGCAATGCTGGAGGCAGAGGTAATAATTCTTTCAAGATTCTTTTATATGGAGCAAGGAATTTTTCAGAATTTAAAGAGAAAATCAAGCGCTAGGAACAAGTGACATCAAAAAGAACTGCTAAAGTAGCCAAGCTGCCTAATCATTATGAGAATAATAAATTTGAAAAGAAAGAATTCAAAGTTGGTAGTGAAGATCGACAGAAACCTAAACCAATAAGTTGTCACCGTTGTGGCGAGAAGGGCCATAAATCCAATAAGTGTCCTAATAAAAACAAGGGAATAAAATGTGTTAATTGCAACGGGTAGGGACACATAGCATCTGAATTTTCAAAGAAAAATAGTAGCAACAATGTCAGTACCATCGAGGTTGTACCAAGAAATAGTTTGAAAGTAAAGTTCGACGAGGTTGAATCAAGAGCCTTGTTAGATACCGGCAGGGATATAAGTGCTGTACGAGAAGAGGTAGTTGAAGAATATTTTCAGGACACCATACTAGAAGATTCGATTTCAATTAAAGGAATTGGTCTGAATAAAGTATGCACATAAGGATCTTTCCAACGAGAAGTGACTACTAATGATGAAGACGTCACGTTAAAGTTTCATGTGATACCAACAAATGCTTCAAGTTTCAAGGTGATTATCGATAATGACGTACTAACTCAAGATGATTTAAGAATAACTTACGATGGAATTATTTTATTTAAAAAGAAAAAGGAAAACTTTCTGATGGTTGATGAAAGTGAAGAGCTAGAAGAAATAAAAACTGTTATAGAAGAATTCCAAAAAGTTGAGGAAGCCAAACGCCAACTGAAAGCTGAAAAACTAGATACTGAGAACTCAGATGAGGATGAAAAAGATGAGGACAAATACGTAGATGAAGTTGATATACCTGGCACCAAAGTGGACAGCAAACAAAGAAATACTGTAAGAAATTTGCATATAAAAGAAGACGGAGTTTTAAAACGAAATGAGATAGCTCAGGATAGAGATGAGTTGATTAAAAGTATTAGAAAGATCTTTGAAATTGAAGACGAGTACGATGGATATTTCTTGAAGAACAGAATCTTAGCGGTAGTACCAAAATCTATGCAGATGGATATCATCAAAACAGCCCATGACATTGAACATTTTGCGGTGTCTAAGACCGAAGAAGTAGTAAAGAGAGAGTTTCACATAAACAAATTAAAGGACAAAATACAAACTTGTATCAGGAACTGTGTTGCCTGTATTTTAGAAAGCAAAGAAGAAGGCAGAAAGGAAGGATTATTGCATCCTATACCCAAGATGGATGGTCCTTTACACACCTACCATATTGACCATTTAGGGCCGTTGCCGAGTACAAATAAAAATTACCGGCATATCCTTGTCGTAATAGATGATTTTTCGAAGTTTACATAGCTCTATGCAACCAAGTCGACAACATCCAAAGAAGTTGTAGAATGTTTGAAGCAGCTACAGAAAAATTTTGCCAATCCAGCTAGAATAATTAACGACAGAGGTACAGCATTCACGGGTAGTGAATTTAAAAAATATTGTGCAGAAGAAAATATTAAACATGTGTTAAATACAACTGGAGTTCCAAAAAGTAACGGTCAAGTCCAACGTATAAATCGGATTATTTTCCCAGTTCTCACAAAGCTATGTTCGGAGGAGCCAGCAAGATGGTATATTTTTCTTGATCGTGTCCAAAGAGCCCTACAATGCATTATGTGATGTTACACAGTTTGAGATTTTAATTGGCATCAAGATGAGAAACAATGAAGATTTACTGATTACAGAAATGTTGGAGAAAGAAGTGATAACTGAATTTGACGGACAAAGAGATAAAATTAGGGAAGATAGTAAGCGACAAATACTAAAAGTGCAAGAAAAGAATAAGAAAAGATACAATCTTCGGAGATAAAAAGCTGAATTATACAGAAAAAGAGACCTAGTAGCTATAAAGCGTACTCAATTTGGTCCAGGGTTGAAAGTTTGCCGAAACTTTTTAGGACCCTATAAAATCTGTAATTATAAATGGCCGAGTGTAGGAATCTGTTTTATCATGCTTTGCATCATTACTAACTGGTCATATGGCTCCCGCACATTTTTGACACGTCACATAGAGGGAAAAGGAAAGAGGGCATTCAGAGATACGACAAACGACGTAGACGACGAATTAAAAAACGACGACGCTGGCGACGAAAAAACGAAAGACGAATGTAACGACGGTAACGACGGGTCGCGTAATCAATAAATATATTTATTGTTTGTATGGATGTTAACATATTTCAGCAACTAGTAGAGATAGAATTCTGAAAATTTGGAGTCTTATCAAATTTGGCACGCCCAATTCCCTACACTAAAAATAATTATTGCATTATATTTAAGATAACAACAAGACTACGTGTAGCGCAAAACTGGGAAATCTGGCAACATTGCCGATAGCACTGTTCAATCCCGCATGTCCAAAAACTGTCAGATTCCGAATTGTGTGAATGCAGCTTAAGCGGTTTTGAAGATATTTAAGCGTTGCAGTACTTTATACTGAAAATGCGGTGTTGGCATATTTCAACAACTAGTAGAGACAGAATTCTGAAAATTTGGAATCTTATCAAATTTGGCACGCCCAATTCATTTCAATAAAAATAAATGGGGAATTTTATTTAACATAATAAAAAGACTACCTGTAGCGCAAAACTGGGAAATCTGGCAACATTGCCGATAGCAGTGTTCAATCCCGCAAGCCGAAAAACTGTCAGATTCCGAATTGTGTGAACGCGACTTAAGCGGTTTTGAAGATATTTAAGCGTTGCATTACTTTCTACTAACCCTGTATACCGAAAGGTATGCCAATGCAACTGTGACACAACTGTGAATATTTTTTGCTAAACTAGCGCTGGGAGATGACATTTCGATATCCGTTTTCAATAGTATGGAAATCGATGTGCTGGAAGTAATTCAGGACAGTGATTTAAACGACGTATCTAACAATGATACAATCGATATTCAACCAGGAAATGCCTCTGTTTCACCGTCTTATGCGCCTAAGGCTCCAGAATACGATGGGCAACAATCACCTGCAGTGGTTGTATGTCACTCGTACTCCAGTGAATTGCCAACATTGCAAAAACGGATAACATCATGATAAAATCAACCAGAAATCTTCTCGGAAATTGGATAGGGGTTCAATCTACTTCAGTATCCAGAAGGAAATCCCGACCTGGTTTATCCTCGGGAGCTAAACGGAAGCAAACAGGAAAACAACAGGGCAAGAAACCACTATCAAAAGAAAAAGGAGAAGATCTTTGCAAGCAAATATGCGAACAAATCGAATGCCAAATCACATTATTAGTTAACTTTTGGCGCTAAATACTCTTATTTTCATGTGCAACAATGTAAAGTACATATTATTATTCGGTTTTATTTGTTTATGTTATCGAGTACTTTGTAGGCTTATGACCTCTATTATTTGCAAATGCAAACCCTACCAAAAACTCTTAACACTCATCCCAATCCTCTATAAGAAACGATATATTACAAATGCGCATACGGCAAATACTTATATTTAAACTATTTCTACCTAGCAATTTTTTATGTTTTTAATTAGGTAACGGCCCAATTAAGGACCGATTGAGAAGTGTTTTATCTCTGCAGGACCATCCGTGGACGCGTTTCGCTGTATCACAGCTCATCAGCACGGTTAGGTCCCGCAGAGAGAAAACACAACCCATTTTTGGTTCCATCCCGGAACTGGGTTTGATACAAGTGAGATGAAGACAGAGTCTCCATCTTTTTTTATGTTATGGTGCACTGCAGAGAGCAACGGATGAGGAGTACGCTGATACTTGGCCTACCTTATTCACTAGAAGATATGCAGCGCAGTAAGAAATGTATGTGAGATACGCCGTGATATCGGTAACATTGTTTACTGCGGTACAGAGAGCAAGCCATCTGTACCGTGGTAAACAATGGATCCACGCGGCCCGGTTTGCACAGCAGTACGTTATCAGCTTCCTAGGAAGCCGGCCGCGGTTTGATGTTTCGACAACTCGTTGGTTGTCGAGTTTTCCGCTATCCGCGTTTTCAACATTGATTTTTAACTTCAAACTTTTCTGCATTCTGGGTCGATCCGTTATATGAAAATTCTTGTGTTTTGTAAATCGATTGCTCCGAGTCTCCATCCCGAGTGCAATAATAGATGTATAAAAACTGATCCAAGCTTCTAGTTTCAATGAATATTGCTTCACAGGCTCGTACGCCGTGTGGAACAATGCGAGTCTTTGGGCAATGATCTTGCAGCAAATTGCATGACAAGTAGCCAACTGGTACAACAGAAAATCTGCAAAGACTAAGATTCCGTAACAATTTTACTATGCATTTCCGTCCTTATATTTACATATTGTGTTTGTATTTATGTTAACGTGAAATATAAGGATTTTTCAAGTTTAATAAAAAACAGTTAATTATTTAATTAGTCAATTATGGAAATACCGGTATCCCGATAGAATTTTCCCGATACCGAAATCTTGGAATTCAGTTCAGTATTGGATGCCCTACTTTCAATTGTACCAAATTTATATAGATATTACATATTTATTCCAAATTTAATGTCATTAATTAACCTTTGTTTTAAGTTTTTATTAATTTATTAGGAAACCATATTAATAAATTTTTTTTTTAGGGAGCTGGTCATAATGACGTAGAACTGTACCCAGTGTATTTGGAAAGACTAAAGCAATTCATCACAGTAGAACTAGATAACTGACAACTACTGAATGGCGAGGACTGCACATTTAGTTCGGGCACCTCCAGTTCTGTTGGAGAAAAACTTCTGTAGCCTACCGAAGCAGGGGCGACGGAAGAACTGCCAGTATCAAAAGACACGTCGTTACCCTGCGCCCCTCGTACTCCCTCGCGCTTGGCGACAATTTGCCACAGTGTTCCGTGTGTCGCGCATTGTCATTGTATTTTACTCGAGACTACCTGTTAGCAAGTGTATAAATTATATTGTTATTATGATGGACTTTTTAAACAATACTTTATATTGATAGGGGTATCCTTGAATCTGACTTGAGAAATCAAGTGTGCGCTATAGGCATATTGTTTATGAAATTTTCCATTTTTGATAACATATCCTAAGATTGTAAAAAAATGTTGTTTCTAGCTGGTCAGCAAAGTTCAATATCCTAAGATGCTGCGTATCCAATTCGACCAATATTTTTACTTGTGCTAAACTGGAACGAATTCCGAATGGAACAAATTTTGATTTGGATATGTCTTGTACAATAAAATTATTCTTAGTACAGGTTCTGGAAATATTAAAAGCCTTAAGCCTTAAGGTAGTTAAAGACAATCTTGAAATAATACCAAAATTTGGCCTCAAACTTCGAATGTACGTCGTATGCTTAGATTGGTTTCTATGATTTGCGATCTAACCTTTTAAAATCTGTCAAAGTCATAAGTGTTTATCAAAATACCCATCAAATTTATTTGTTTGGAATATCCTGAGATAAAATGGTGTTTACACAAGGACAAAAAGCGTTTGTGAGATCAAACCATCCTTTGTCGGAGAAGAAAATCAGGTACAGGTTGTTGCCGTCCGTCAAAGTTATTCATGAACCACTCGCCAAACTCTGGTCTATGTAGATAATCAGCATGACGAATTTCTTGAGCAAGTTAAGTGAAAGGGATCGAGGTGTAAACCATTTTTTTTTTAAACACTTTAACAGGTATCAACAGATACTTCAGCTGACCGCGACAAAACTTGCACAGAGCTCATCTGTTTTGTCGGTCGTCCACTTCCCTTCTTCCGGCCCACACTCCCCGTTTCTCGAAAAAGAAGCATAATATGGCGGAGAGAACACTTAAACTTGCTGTTTCCAATGTTGTTGTGGTCTCTAAGAAACTGTTCTTGAAGTTCGTGATAGCAGAATTTGTGCACTATCCATCAATTTCCATCTTTTCTAAAATGTGATTTCACCGTAAACCGCAAATGTTTTTTGTTCTTGTGAAATTACAACTTCATCACAGGATATTTCAAACAAATGAATTTGATGGTGATTTTCATAGACACTTCTGCCTTTAACAGTTATCAAAAGGTTAGATCGCAAATCATTGAAACCAACCATAGACATACTCTCGAATTTGCAACGTTAATTTGAGGTCAAATTTTGATGAACACTCGCTATAGGAAGCCCGGGTTTTCTTGCATGCGTGGACAGATATGATGTACCTATTTTTGATAGCAATGCAGTTATTGTTTAATTTTTTACTTAATGTTCTAGTAGAATAGTTTGTCTTTAATCCCCAGTTTCACAATGTTCAGTCAACTAACTTTCCGTTAGGCGCGTGAGTATTGGTAACATTTCAAGTCGCGCTGTATCTTACAGAAAAATATAACCAGATAATATCAGTTCCTTTTTGTCCTGGCATGTAATGTGTTAATAAAAACCTCATATTGCACACAAAAGAAAAAATATAATTTAGTTCCAGAATTGGTCTTCTGTTTCTGTTCTCTTTCTAACAATTCTTGGTAATTTTACTATAGTATTAAAAAGGTCTCGCAGGATTTATTTTTGCGCGCAGATGGGTTATCAAATAAATAAAATAATTCACAGTAATAACAGGGTTGGTATTGTAATTATAGGAAAGGTTTTGATATAAGTTATCTGAGAAAACCATGGAACAGGACTATTAGTAGGAAATTGGCACCTGCCATGCACCTATCAGATACATACGCGACTAGTGAAGGTTTAAAAATAGTGTTTAGGAAAAACTAACAGTTGATGAATGTTTCATGCTCAACTTTTGACAAATAATTCGATTGAAATTGATAATAGGTTAGGTTCATTGTAACTTCAGCTTTTAACTTTTTTCTGTTATATGTATACAGGGTGATTGATGGTCGATGGTAGGTTAGACGCTTATGGAAAGCGGAATGTTGGATGATTTTGAAAATTTGCATGCTCAAGTAATTGCTCCTGATCTATCATTCTAAAGTAATTTCAACGATGCGACGCTGCCGCTCATACCAATAAGTAATATAGGGTTTGATATTTTAAATGGGAGACCTTGTATATTATTGCATTTTTCGCTCCACTATTATTACAGTCCAAAACAAGACATACCTATGTTCGCTTCATATTATTTGTTCTGTTCTTACTATCACTATATCACTAATGAGATCTAACAATACGTCTATTCCTGCAGAAATCACAAACCAGTTACAGCGAATTTCATTGGTTGAAACCAGTCAGAAACAGTCAATAACAGACCTATTATAAGGTCTGTTTCTGCAGAAATCACAAACCATTCAGAGTTAATTTCATTGCTTGTTAGTTAGTTTTCTGACTGCTTCTGACTGTTTTCAACCAATGAAATTCGCTCTGACATGTTTGTGATTTCTGTTACCATAGGCATCTATGGAAGTTACCATAGGCATCTATGGAAGTTACCATAGGCATCTATAGAAGTTGGCCATCCATTTTACCATGACTATTTCCCTCCTGTCAATTTTGATATTGTAGAAAATCACGTGGTTTGAATCACCTAATATGTTTCATCGTGACATGTCATAGCTATTCAATGGCTTTTCCGGTTGGTAGAATGAGTGTAAAAAAAATGTATTTCTATCTGTTTCTTCAACAGGCTGAGAGAAAAAAAATCTACCAATCGGAAACGCCATTAGACAAATATTCCAAAATAATCTAATTCCAACAGAAACTTGCACGTATTTCCGAAACCTTACTATTTAGGTATAGGAACATATTACATCGTTTGTAAGGGATTTTTATTGCCTTTTATAATATTTCGTAATATACAGGGTGCTCTATTTGAAAAAGTGCACTTTTCTTTTTTTGTGCCTGGCAGCACAATTACTAATTTTGTTCAACCCTGTATCATGTAGAAAACATTTTCTTGCTCAAAAGTAATATGCAGGACCTCCCCAAGTTATCTCCAAAATTTGAACTTTCTACGAATCTCAGTGACGTAGCAATACAAATTCATCTAGAGCTATGTTTTCAAGAAAAAATAAAGAAATTAATTAATAAGTCGAAAATCACTAGAGATTGGTAGGACAGTATTATACAAAAATAATCAGAAAGTAATAGTGGAGCGAATAATACATATAGAAGGTGTCTCATTTAAAATATTAAACTTCATATTACTTTTTGGTATAAGCGGCAACGTCGCATCGTTGAAATTATTTTCGAATGATAGATCAGGAGCAATTAATTACCCGTGCATGCAAATTTTCAAAAACATACAACATTCCGTTCTCCATGAGCGTCTAACCTACCATCGACTATCAATCACCCTGTATATATACATATATCAATGAATGACCCAAAATTGAGTATTTCTTGTATCAAAACAACACATTAAAAACAAAATACACCATAGAATATAAACGATTATTACAGAAAAAGTTTCATCTTGCGATTTTTTCCAGGCTACAAAACTCAATTATCTTGTATGGTATTTTAATGGTTGCTATGGCATTGAATAACAATACGGGAATCACTTTTCAGCCAGCCTATGCTGGGACTATGATTTCTATACAACTGAAAAATAGGAACAGTATGACATATATTTTTTTTAAAATGTTGGCCGATGTGCTACTTACTTTTTCACCTAAATACACAATATACCATTTCGATTGCTGTCACACAATACACAAGTAACTATTGTTATTTGTTATTTACCATTGGGATCTGAAAATCCATCAGATTGACAAACTGGTTGGAATTGAAATTTGATGGCCTTGTCATGTCGTATTAGGGAAAAATAGGCAATGATAAAGACTTATTTGTTCTGAAATATATCTAAAAATAATTCCCTTGTCATGTCGTAGTAGGGAAGATAGGCAATGATAAAGACTTATTCTGGAATATATCTAGAAATAATCCAGAATAAAATATTGCAGCTTTGGCCCATTATAAACTTCCTTAAGCCTGTAACAATTTTACGCCATACGAAAGTCATTCATTGTCATACAACGTAAAGTTTGCCTTACGAGTCTAGCACTATGGAAAGAATGCGTATAAAAAAATTGCAATATTGCCTATTTGACTTCCAATCGAAAATACCTTAATATTTATCTATGTTACACACCTATATTTATAAGGAAAAAGTAATATTTAAAAACGCTGCGCACACGCCTATGACAGGCAGCATAAAGCTTGAAATGAATGGCGTTATTCTCCCTTGCCCTTCAGACTTCGTAGTGCTAGACTCGTAAGGCGAACTATACCTAATGTGAAAAGGTCTGTATAGTTTCTGATCACAGAGCTCCTTCTTTGAACTACCTACTATGTTATTCAATGTTTGAGATATTTTCAACTTTACGGTCAATCAGTCCGTGGTTAATTATCGGATTTTTTTGTAAAAAACTATATGCAGATGCAGAGTATGTAAATATGTGAATGGACCGTATCCTTAACGTTATTGGACGAGATGTTTAATGTGAAAGCTGAAGGGAATTTTTATGATGTTTATTTTTTTTCGGTAGTTTAAGTTAGATAATAAGAATTTTATCACGGATTTCGTTTTTTTTTGAAGAAGCTACTTTTTTTCGGCTCGTTTTTTTGGTAAATATTGCAAATAATCAAGAAAAGATTGTGGCCAATTTCTTACTACATACAACACTCTTGTACCCTTTTTCTGATTGATTGTTAGTCTTTAGTTTATATTTTGTGATTTTCTTTCTTAAATAAATTTTCTATTGTTTTAGGTTAATAGTTTTTATTTTATTTTTTGAAAAAATGTTAGGCGCTGATAAATAAAAGCAGACATACCTAAAGATTAAACATTTCCTTTCTGCTTGAAACGAAATATACACTGGCCAGCAAAATTAACGCACTACTAACTTATTTCTATTAGGATTAGCTAGCAAACAGTTCTGATCTTAACCCAATTGAGGATGTCTGAGACATGATCTATCGCCGTTTTCCAGAACTTCCTAACCCTCCTAACACTTTGAATGGGCTTTGGAGATATTGTCCAAATATGGAATAATTTTCATTAAAATGAGATAAGGCCCGTAATTTTAACATGAATAATCGCTGCTGTGCTATCATTCAAAATAGAGGAGGAAATACCGGTTATTAATTATTTTTAACTAGAGTTAAAAAAAAAAGAAAAACTTGAATTTTATTGTTTTTTTTTTACCTTCTTCTGGAATTTTATCTTTTGTTAATACCTACCTTTATTAAGTTCGAATAAGAATCTACTAAATTAAAACATAGAAATGTTTGATCAATATGAAATAAAAAATATTTTTCAAAATATAGTAGTGGTGCGTTAATTTTGCTGGCCAGTGTATGAATCAGAAGTGAAATCTTATTAACGATTTGAAAAAATCACATCTGCTTTTTCATTATGCAAGGAGGGTACAACCAGTAAAATATTTTCCCTTAAAAAACCGCTTAAACTTTACCACATAAGCAAGCCAAGTGCCTAGTCAAAAAGTTCCATGACTTTGTGAAACTGGGGGTCATTGTTTTTTATTAAGTTTATGGTATGACTATAATTTGGCTGGAGACAGATCAAAGAAAGACCTTGAGTAGGTACGTTAAACCAGTAAATGCCACTTAACATCCTGCCAACTGCAAAAACTTCCTGATGTAAAATATAAAACACTCCAAACTTGGTTGTGCTTCATAAAACCTTCTCTTCATTGTGCTGCCATCCAAGAATTGTTGGTGAAAAATGAAATTGTGTATAGGGCATTAATAATAATTAGTTCTTTCCTAAAATTTGAAACTCCTAAGTATTATGTACAGTTTCTGCCTCTATCTATTTTTTGACACGCCTTACAGAACTTATTTTTTTATGTTTAATAACAGAAAAACTTTTAATATGATGGCAGGTGAGGGTTTTATTGCACTCCTGCGAGGGAAGTATGTATGTTATAAGATATTTTTTGTCCAAGCAGTATATAAATTGGACGTCAAAATTTGCCAAAGCAATAATCGAATATAGCCTTAGAACCATAAAAACTATTATGTTCATGTAATTTATGCGTCTTCTTCTCGCTAGATGGCAGTAGCGGCATTGGGCTAGTTTGGAAACTAGCTCGAAGAGAATAATTTATTTACTTAAAATTTGCACTAATTTGTTCGTTTCACATTTAATGCAATAAATTATTATATAAATAAAGTAAAAGCATAAATGAATGCGGATAATCAAGTTACTGGTTTGCCCGTTTAGACGGGCATCATGTTCCGAGTTTCATATTATTGATTTGACATAAAGTACCTAAATAAACTTGACATAGGTACCTACGTCGTAAATTACTGGCAGCTTTTTATTTTTCCGAAAATGGATGAAAAAAGCTACAAGGATCTTGAAACCAGACAATCCATTCATCGCGTATGGCAACTAACTTTAGGGATCCCTTGGGCCGGAGTTAACCCATTCCCTAATTCTTAATTCTTAAAAAGTTCAATTTATTTAACATTGGTGTTTTTAAAGATTAAGAATTAGCACTTGATACATAAATTACTATTCCTGCAACTGTAAAAAAGTAATTTTTATGAAAGATATTTTTCCACTTCTATTTTTTGAAATAAATAAGTACCTACCTAGTGTTATTTTATTGTTGTGAAATTAGGCAATCCAATCCATCTGTCAGACACAAAATTCAATATGGCGTGGCGGCCAGCCAAGTTTATTTTGAATATGTGTTTTTATGCTTATTTTAGTTATTTTGCGTCGAGTTTTGCTTGCAAGTTTGATTTTGATAATTTAATAAAATATGTGTTAACTAGGTACTAGGTACCTACATAACCCATTAAGTCAGGCAGAAACTAGATATTTTTTTTTTTTTGTGTGTTTAGTTTTGGTCTTGTAAAATGCCGAATAAGTGTGGTTGTTGGATGTGGGCGCAAAGCCTCCGAGAAAGGGACAATGTGTCTCAAACCTACGGGTTCCCAAGCGTGCCCAGTTCAGTATGTTTTCCGAATTCAAATCAACTATCGGACAAAAGACGAATTGCATGGTTAGCGGCGTTAGGCAATCAAACGGAACAATCTTTCACAATCTAAAGTGGCAAATAAAAGACTCAAAGAGTTTGTGGTAAGCATTTTATCACAAAAATTTA